TATCGTATGGTTGAGCCCATACTTGAGGACAGTTGTGAAGAACTCAATGAGATTTAAGGACAAGAAGTGCGCCGAAGGGACGGGTAGACAGACGACGGCCCACCACATGAATGGTGTGAATAGTGTTGACACAAACCATAGATATTATACGCAAACCGTTGTGAATAACAAACCCGTTGTCAATAACTATAATAAAGTTGCCAAAACACCGCATACCCTGTGGGACGACTCCCCGGTTTGCTATCGCACCGCCAATGAGTCGTTTATATAATTTGCATTGAAATGGATTATTGTTTGTATTTCTGTCTACTTTTTATTATTTAATAATTGATTGCATATACAGTAATGAATACAATACTACGGTATACACCGGTAAATGTTGGTTTATATGCTTTATATATTTTATGATAGATATAATTTTGATATAATCTCAGGTAAAATGTATTATATTTTATGTTATCTAAATTCAAATGTATTTTTAATTCATTTATATTTGTTTTAATTATTTTTAATAAAAGTTTTTAAAGTTAAGTACTTTTGACTCAAATTTTTGAGCTCACAGATGGCACACCACTGGTCTCATAAAGTAACGTTGTTTGTGGACAATGCGTGAGACATGTGTTTCCCTTTCCGTTACTGACAGTGAGTTTGTTGTGTTGACCACAAAACGTGAGTTTCATTCAAAACCATTTCACTGATCATTTTCAAGACATTTATCACCGAAAACCTGTTCCACACCTATAGTGACTACAAGTGATCACCGCGAAGATGGTTCAGAGGCTTACATACCGGCGCCGGTTGTCCTACAACACCCAATCCAATAGGAGGCGAATGTATGTCTTGTTTTGTGACCACTTTTTGGCCATTATTTCAATGATTATCTGTGTTTCATGTGGTGATCATCGGATCCGATGGACAGTTCGAAGACACCGGGCGGTCGACTCGTGTATTTGTACCCCAAAAAGCACGGATCAGTCGCCAAATGCGGTGATTGTAAACTCAAACTGAGAGGAGTACGTACTGACCGACACACCCGTCCACCCATACCTCCCGTTCCTCTTAACTAATCACTCATTGCCTACACGACTACGGATCGTGTACTGCCTGCGAGTGCTAATTGAATGCCGTTTTAATTGTTTTGACTTTAATTAACGTGTTTTGTATGTCTGTGCAGATAGTGTACGCCCGACCCCGAGAGCTGTCAGCCCTCTCCCGGCGCCACAAGACAGTGACCCGAGCCTACGGGGGCTCCCGATGCGCTAAATGCGTGCGAAGCCGGTAATGGCATACCTGTCCACTTGATTGTGGTTCGGGTGACATCTGATTGTGATTTATAACTGATTTGATTGTCTCTTTTCGTGGGCACCGGTAGTATTGTTCGGGCGTTCCTCATCGAGGAGGAGAAGATTGTGGCAAAAGTACTGAAAGCACAACAGGCGGCCACTCCTGCCGCCCAGACATCTAAATGAGAGCGTGTTTTGTAATGTATTTTTCGCCGAGAAATTAA